AAGAAGTGAAGAAGCTGTGTTCATCTCTCCGAAGAAATGCAAAAGTTTGTAATTTATTTTATAATAGAAAAGTTTATTGCAAATTTGTGCCCGGAGGCAAATTGCAAATAACAAAACATAAAAGAATATTGCAACAGAGTATAAAATAACTTAAATCATGAAGGTAGAACTACAGTACAGCTTGCGTTAGAATTAACGGGTGACGCGATCACGAGGTAACGCTAACGCGGCGATCACGTAACGCTAACGCAGCGATTACGAAGTGATGACGCGATGACGCAAATAGAGAAGGAAAAAATAAGTGCTTCGATAGTTCAAAACACGTTTAAAAGTCCTGCAATTCTCGTGCACCGTACAATATGCTTGTAACGGAGTTTGGATGTTTCGGGCGGAACCCGCGTTTGACGTATCAATTTTTCGGCGGTTCACTTTCAAATTTTGATACATTTCGTGAGCCACGCAGTGTTGAGGGCCTGCTTGGAGGGTAGTGATTACGAATTACGCAAAATTTTCACTATAAAGTTAAAGTTTCAGAGCTCATTACGACTTAACGCTTTGTGGCTAATGTACGAATTACGTTGATTTTTGGGAAGGCTGTCTACGGTTTACGAAGACTATTAAATAAAGAAAAGGCCTGATTTAATACGCCTTACGAAACCGGGCATGCAGGCCCCCAGTGTTGGGCCGGGCGTTCCCACGCCGTGTCGCCATAGAAACCGCATGTAGACAGCAGTGAGCAGCGGCGCTGGTAGACTCCCCGGCGCCGACAGACCATGTGTCGTTCTGGCGCGCCAATCACAGCACACAGACGGGGACCCGCCCACCAGCCAGGCCGCAAAGAGTGGTGTTGTGAGTCAGATGCGCCGCCCAGCCAGAGACACCGCCTGACGATTTGTATATTTTGCCGCCCTGCAGCTGCACGGACGGCATCCATTGTGCAAATAATTTGTCGAAAACTCCCCAAATTACGTTAGAAATTTATAGTTGACAGAAATATCCCTCTAGTGCGTATATTTTTTACGAATGTTTGCGTTTTTGTCCCAGTTCACGCTCAAATACACCGCATCATTTTCGGCAATGTTTCCACCGCCAACAAATTTCCAAGACCTGCTTCCCCACAATGACTTTTTGTTTTTGGTGCGTGCTTTAAATTGAAATGGTTTTTGTCCGACCGAAAAATATTCAAATCGCACGATATTCGGGGTAAAGCCCCAATGCTTAATGATATTTGAGATGACAATAAAATCAGAAATTTGTCTTTTCCACTGAATTTCTACCTCATCACAAAACTTGATTCGTCACTATCGGTACAGTTTTACGTTTCACTGCCGTCTTACCTTTCAATGCTGTCGGTGGGGTGACCCGCTTCCCCGAGGATCGAGGATTAAAGTTACCGGCGCCGCCGACAGGAAAACATGCGTGGTTTGGGCTAATAAAACACAACAAGCGCTTATCAGACCTACTAGATTTTATTTCAAACAACTATCAACCTGAAGTGAAGAAAAATATATATAAGGTGTAGTGTAAGATGCATTTGGTTTTGTCACACGAAACGCCGAAAATGGGGTGCGCCCATTGTATCAGTATTTCCCTCACAAGTTTTCAGTTCCCGAGTGGGGCGGTCTGCCACCCGCCCAAAATCAGTCTTATTAGCGTGGGTGTTTAATAACAGGAAATAATCGCCATGTAATATTGGAATATTTTTTGAGCATTTTTGGACCATGGTGTTTCTTTACAGTTTTGTCGCTGAGTTGCTGTGTTGCTGTAGGATGTACCATCATACCAAGTGCCGCCGGCGTGCGTTGCTCGTGGCTTTTGCGGGTCAACGACCTCAGGGAGATGCGTTGTGTTTTAGGAAAACCAGCAGGCAGGGTGACGTTTAATAGAGAATATAGCGGGCGGCTGCATATTAAAAGGAGCCGATTCCTGCAGAAATCGCCGACTTTCGCACCGGTAAAGCCGACCGGGCACGTCGTGTAGCAGAACTCGGACGCATGAAATACGTTACTCACGCGTTACTGTGACGGGTTAGTACCGCGTAAATGCCGCGTACGTACCGCGTGAGTGCCGCGTGAGTAACGCGTTACCCGTTAATTCTAACGCAAGCTGTACTGTATAACGGGAGGGGTCCTAATTCCGACCTATGTTCCATGCAAACACATACATGTATATCTTTGGTAATAGTGTATCTGACCAAAAACTCGCGCAACATGAGCTATAATATTGACAGATAAAGATCACAATGATTAAAGCTGCACAGCTGTGTACATGTATTTCATGTCAGTGTAGCGCTTTGCACCCAAGCGTAATGGTTCACGAAACGTACGGCAGGTTTTTGGTCTTTTTGCTGGTGGAACGCTCTATCGCAATAGGGGTGCCCTAATTCCGACCTAGTGTTTAACACAGGTCAAACTGAGAAGAGAGTTTAAAAATCATAATACACAAATTATGACTAAAACAATCTACAACTGTTTGTCTGTCCCAAACAAGTCCTTTTTTTACCATTACGTGACTTGCTCCAAAGCGGCTGTATCAAAAGCAAACCCTGCATTTTTGACACGCTCGTCAACCCCCGAACAAGCGTCAAATTTAAACAGATTTTTCACTCGTCTGTTGCCGGAGTGTACGAACTAAAACCGAGATTACCGATATCTACACAAAGACTTTGTCCATTCTTGTGGTTATTTTTAAGTACGTGCTCCCACGCATAACTCCGCAACAAGGAATTTTCAAACTAGTACGGAATTAGGGGTACAATGTACTGTAGGTCGGAATTAGGGCACCCCCGTTAACTATCTCTAAAACTATGTCTGAGGGGTTTGACTTCTCTTCTGTAAACCATGGAAGACGTAATGTCCCACCTTTTCAAAATTTTTGGGTTTTGGGGAAGTTAACATAAGAATAGTTTTTTTTTGTCTGAAAGTTTAGAGAAATTGGGATAAATTGTAGAAGTTTGACTAGTTCTAGGAGTTGGCATTTCTTCTTGGCAGAACAGCTGAAATTACCACCTTAGGCCACACCGTTTTAATTTCTTGGTTAACGGATTTTTCTAGAAAAATAATGGAGCGGGCGGGGAAAAAAAGTTAAAAAATAAAAACAGGCCTAGGCATCCTATTATGGCCCAAAATGGTACGATAGGAGCCATGAAGTCAACACACCAGGCTGGATGAAAATTTAAACAATGAATTTTGAACTTTTAATGATATGGGGTATCTTAAACAAGGAAATGCATGGCATGAGGTTCCTTGCAACACGTCAGTTTGCACATTCGTGCCTTTGTTCACGTGGCGTGTATTTGACATGTATGTTGTTGAGGGAAAAAGGCGGTGACAAGGCAATGTTAGCGTGGTGCGGGGAGAGGATCTTGGGGAGCGGACTAAAGCTAACAAGGCTGGACACCAGGCTAGTCTCTTTGTGACAATAATGATTTTGTTCTATGAAAAATGTTTATTTACACTCTTGTGCATTGTTGTAATGGTTGTCTTCTACAAAATTTAGGAAGAAAGAGTACTGTTCCACTATAATGGACATGGAGTTCCCAGACCAACTGTAAATGGAGAAATCTGGGTCTTCAACAAGGTATTGTAATTCTATTTTTGCTTGTTGTCCAAGTAACCACTGTGAAGTCTTCTCTACCTCAGAATTTAGCTGCAAACAAATACTACAAATATCTACTTCTTCCCCTTACCCATTATCCTAAAATAAAAGTCTATGAAAGTGGATGCTTTTTTTCTTTATGTCTTCCTAGATCCTCAAGAACCAACATGGCATAAATTGTACAGTATGATTGTACATTGTACATGTAACAGACTTAGACTTAGACTTAGACTTAGTTCCTCCCGTGCAAGGCACATTGGGCAGCAAGTCTTCTCCACTCTGCTCTGTCTTTGGCGAGGGACTCGGCATCCTTCAGTGATATCCCCTTGCTTTCCAGATCTTTTTGAAGGGTACGTCGCCATGTTAGTTTACATGTAGGTCTCCCTCTTTTCCGTTTGTCCTCTTGTTTCCAGAATATCGATGTTTTGGCATGTCGGTCTGAGGTCATCCTGAGGACATGTCCAGCATACCTCATCCTCCTCTCGGTGATAGTGATGCTGAGTGGTTTTGTACCAGTTCTGTGGTAAATCATCAAATCTGCCAATAATGATGGTGGTCCAGAAAAATAAGACCATTGCCAAGCAGTCACACTACTGCTACATACATAAGAACATGCATGTAAAGCTTTCCAAACCAGTAGAAATTTTGGTCTCTAAGTGTTTGTTTTGTAGAAAACTGACCTGAGAAAAACAATGTCAACACCACTGACATCTGCATAATTCCCATGGGACCGCACTGAGTTCAATACAACCCTCCTCACGTGACATGAAAAGTACAAAATTGCAATTTTACCATCAAAAGAAAGCTGAAATATAATGAATTCCAGTTCTTATTTCTGTTAACTTAAATTCATCACTAAGTTCTGAAGACAGCAAAACTACAAAAGCGTGCAAAGTTAGGACACACTGTCAACTGTCGGCCATTCACGGAGGTATGTTCACGAAAAATGCCTCACAGTGTTTGTCGCTTGTAGAGAGGGTGAAAAGATCATGAACAGTGATAATGCATTTCCTGCATGTTCAAGTATGTTCTCTACACAAATGTTTTCAAAATCCATTCATGAAAACCTGACCATTCTCTGACAACTACATGTAGCAATAGAGCTCTGTGAGTTCAAATGCGTGAACAAGCATTTGATGTTAGGTAACCACCCCCCCCGTCAAATGTTGAAAATAGCCAGCTCAGCTTTACAGTTTCCATGGCATACATGTATCTACCTTTTGATGTCATGATGTTTGTGTAAAATTCATGTAAGATACATTTTTTTGTTTTGTTCCATTGTTCTATTTATTTGCACATACAAAATAATGACAGTGAAGTAAAGAAAAGTATTCTCAAAAAGTCCAGGAGGGAAGAAGCCAACAGGCTTGTGTATGATGCCCAGGGCTCGTTCAGTGAACTTCTCTTGTATGAATGTAAATGTATGAATGATTGTGTATTTGATTGGCATGTTGAACTGATTAGATTTTATTATTATCAATTTATTTATTAATTAGAGCTAACAAGATCTATCGAACATGGATCTCGCATTTATTTGAACTATTCCATTCCAGCTGATTGGTGATTTTCATAACATAAATATGATCTATGCCGGTGACAAAATATGACATTAATGATTAAACTTTATCTGGTCTGCATTCGGTTGACATCGCGAGTGCAGTACAGGAGGTTTCTATTTCATCCTCCTCCCTCCCTCACATGCTAATGTTAATGTAATTTTTTGAAGAGTATTGACCATTATAAGTAAAGCATAGATAGCACATTATAGCATACATGTTCATTGATAACTGGTGATTGACAAAGTCCACTAATTACTAGTATTAGATACAGTAAAAAGACTTAATGAAAGGCCCAGTAGCATCCAAAATCATGTCCAACTACCCATCTGTGACCACAGATGATGTACACGCGGGGGTCACTATTTTGTAAAATGCTAGTTGCAATTGCAAAAACATGAACTTACAATATATGCTACAAATTAATTGCTTGTAGTAGGCCTGTCAAATTTGACTTTTACAAATATTTGCTGAAATTAAATCAAATGTGGACATAGTAACTAGCATTTTACAAAATAGTGACCCCCGCGGAAGCAGCATAATGGTACATTCCAAACGTGTTATCACAGAGTTACAAGCATATTATACAGAATACCACTAATTATAGCTGTGACAGGCGCTAAAGGTGGCGCAAGTGCATGGTCACATTTAAGGGCTTTAGCCCCGGTGATAACAACAATATTGCTGACAAATTTAGTTTATTTTCAAATATCATCACTACGTCTTGCTTGGTAAAACTGTCCAAGGCTTTTTAGTTTCTTTTGGGAACTTTTTTCTCTTAAGCGCATTTTTAATGAAAAATTATTTTAAAAATTCCGTTTTGCTCTTTTTTGCTGGTAAGATTCCAACACTTAAACCAAAATAGCCGTGGACAAAGCTCAAAGTTTTGGAGGTGAACTATTATCTTGTAGAATATAAAAGCTAATAGTGCTGTCCTCACCAGGGCTGGAGCATATTTATTTATTTATTTATCTTTCAAACATATAGGTAATCCCAAAGTGAGCTATGTATGTTTTGCCAAAATGTGTATTCAAACCCCCAAATCCTACATATCACATACACAATCACCTGTATCTAGTTACTAGTAAGTTCAAACAGTACTAGCATTGTGTGAAGTTTCATTATGATATGACAATGCTGGTCATTAAAGAAATAACTTAATTGATACAACAAAAGTACAGCAACTTGCGTAAGGTCTTACACAACATGTAGGCATACAGACAAATACAACAAAATTAACCTACATACAGGACAATATATGAATCAACTTATACTACTTGTTCTAAGGTCTAAACATTCTTGGATGTATTTACCTATTTGTACACAGTAAGGGTTATTACCTTCTAAAATGAAATTGAATTTACCTATAGCATTAAACCAAACAAATTCTGCAAGCGGAGAGAAGGTTGAACAGCTTTGTGTGTTTATTGTTATATAGTGTTTTGACATTAGCTATGATTGTGTCACAGACGTTAACTTACCAGAGTTCCTCATCTTGCAGAGCTACACCCAGTACATCCCCCTCTCCATATATGACCTACAAACCTGGATGGGAAGTCCCTCCATTTTTGTGTATGACTGTTCAAATGCTGGTAATGTACCTTTCATTTTCCTCTCTTATTACAGTTATATATACATGTATATGTACATTCGTGTTTGTATGATACAGTCAATATTTATCTTGATGACCATCGTCTGGAAGAATTAAACCATTGGGGTCCCGGTCATAAAAACGATTAGCTTACATTGTACGTTTTGTGTAATTACGAAATTAAATGTAGCACTGTTCTTTTATTCTTACAGACATGATTCTTCTTACAGCAAGTTATACAGTTACATGTATAACTCAAAGGGAATATATTTATTATTTACATATATATGATAAAAGTCATTTGATAATATATGTATGTATGTATGTGTGTATGTATGTATGTGTGTATGTATGTATGTATGTATGTTTATATATATATATATATAT